CTCTTGCAACTGCAGATTCCAGGGGGATTGGGTGGAATACACAGAGAGAAGAATGCAGGAAACTCTTAACAATCTTGGTTGATTGGGGTTGATTGAGTTAAAACCTTCTGGAATAATGTAAAATGATTCTGAAGTCAATAAAATGCTGATGGAAGGATGATTAATTTAAACTACAATAAACAGATTCCTTGTCATGTAGTTCACTTTGTAGCAAATACATGTTTTCTCAGTGGAATTGTATCAACATTCATTTTTTCTTTGATTTCTGGATATTATTTTCAATTTTCATTTGAGAAGAGGCTTCAGAATTTTTTTAGAAACCCCTGACTTGTCCCTGTTGGAATTTGCCTGTTCAGAAATTGGCCTTGTGTCAACACATCACCTGTTAGTTGTTAAAGAGTTTAATTTTCAAAGCTATGATTTCATCTCCCTGAAGAGAAGGTGGACAAAGGGATTCAATGCAACAAGAGTGTTTTAGCTTGAGATGTAAACTGAAAAAAAATATTTGGGGGATGATCTCAGACTAGATTGAATTGAGTATTTACATTTAGAAAGCATTATAGCTTGGAATGCATGATAAGCTAAAGGCTTTGTCATTTAGGCTCTAAAACAGTTTTATTTAGTAATGACCAGTAATATTATGTTTGGAAATTAGGATAAATGAACTAGAGCATTTTCCAGGAGTGGGGGAAGAATGCATTTGCTTTTGTTTCCATCCAGGTCTGCAGTTGCTACTTCGCCTGCTTTGTTTTGGTCTAATAATAATTTGTTTCATTTTAACCTTGTGTTGAGTTCTTGTTCCAAAATTTGCAAGTGGTGTGAAATACCAAAGCAACAAGATTCAAGGCAGAGCAGTACCATTGTGAAACAGGGAAATACAAGTAATGAAATTGGGAAGTTAGTAAAATGTCCAAGAGGTGACCGGAGAGCAGAGTCTCTGCAAGTTAAAGATGAGGAACTTGCCCTGAAAACTTGCTTCAGGATGAGGTTTCTGTGGTGACTTCTAACACTTTTTGGTTATGTTTGAGTAGGAAATGCCTTGAGAACAGCTTTTCCTGTGGTCTTATCTGAGGCTTAAGTAGAAAGATACACAACCTATTTTCTTTTCTCCTTTAAAAATATTTAACTGAACTTTTAAAAACCTCAGCAGAAGAAAAGCAGTTTTGGTTCCAGTGCTGAGAACAGGCTTAGACCAGTTTTCACTACCCACATCCATTTGCCTAGTTCTAAATTTCACAAAGGAGTTTTTAAAATTTATATAAATGAGAAATAGCTTTAAGTTAAATTTTAAGATAAAATTTCTTAACTTTTAGGACTTTCTCTTCTACTTTAATGATGACTGAAAAGAAGAAAAATATTAATCATTGCTGTCTTCTAAATCAAATTGATGTGTTCACGTTATAGTCAGATTTCTAAGGCACCAATTTATTTTCTTGCTATATAACAGTTGTCCATACATGGATGTATCACATGCTGATACAGCATTCCTACTTATTTTTTTTTCTTTCCTAATTATTCCTTTTTCACTGGATTGTTTTATATATGCAGTTAAAGCAATACATGGTTTGGGGTTTTTCTTTAAAATTATTCAAAAGCACAGAAGTCATTGCTGCAAAGTACCTCTTAATATTAAACTAAGATTTCAGTATATGGTAATTGAAGAATTATACTTTCAAAAGCTTGTAATATTGAATAACTTCTATATATTCCTCATTTTTTAAAAAATAGAGATTCTGGTCTTCAGTACTTGTGTCTCATAGTTGCCTTTTGCCTGAGTGGTGGCGGTGTAATTATTCTCTAGGGAGAAAATGCCTTGAGTAAACATATGAAAGGAATGGAATAGACATTATGCAACTTGCATCCTTTTTGTGAGGCCTCATTTTTGTAAAATGTTCTTGTTTTGGTCTTCTGGCAGGATAAATACAAGCTGAGTGAATCCTGATGTCATGGAAGCTCTTAACACTTTCTTTGGCCTCAACACTTACAAGCAGAGCTTTCTCTCTTGACCCTGTTCAGTTACAGGAGTTGATTTTTGAATATCTGTTTGTTTCCCACTGTTGGAAGATTGCCTTTAATGAAACTCTTCAATGGCTCAAACCTTTGAACCTGGTAAAAGGGCACTTCCAAAGATAGGTCTGACCTAAGAATTCAAATCCAATCTCAGTTTTAAATACCTTTTCCCACCTACTGCTCTTTCCAACTTCAATCCAGAGTGATTATTCTGGAAATTTTAGTCAAATCCCTTACAGAGAATGCTAAATTTTCATCTAATTTAAAATTACTTAAAACATGGATAGAACACAATCTAAATCTTTAGAATTAGAGAAGCATAAAACAGATGTGAAAGTAAAGCTGGCTGCAAGCAAAATCCAAGCAAGCAGTCTGGATCCCATCCGGATCCAGAAAATCTTCATTTCTAGCATTTATTAGTGCTCTGATCTGTTGGGTTTGGATTAGGTTTGTCTCTGTCAGTGCTAAATCAAAACACTGTTGTCTATATTGGCTTCAGCTTATCTACCTCCCAATTTTCTGTTTTTAAACAGGAGAGAGTTGCCCTTTGGCCATATTTGTGTGCGTAGCTGAGTTTTGCTGTTCTCTGTGCTGTGGGTCTCTGTGTGCACGAGCAATACTGGATTATTATTGGAGAGCTGAGGAGGTGGCCAGAAGGAAAATTCCACTCTCCATGCCCACCTCCTCCTCTCTCCCTCTCCCCAAGCTCCTCTTTTGTGGTCCTCAACGCCAAGGCAAAGCGTTCTGTTCCAGAAGAGGAAGTGGGGTACCTCAACTTCCCTAAAGGACCATTAGAAAACTGTAATTTCAAAATGAGTTTCCTGTCCAAGGAAGAGGGCTTAGCACTTACAAGAACAGTTCTCCACTGTACAAGGCAGACATTTTAGTTTTATGAGGAACAAATAAAACATTCCTCTGTGCTTTACAGCCATAACACTTTCTGAGACTCTTTTTAGTTACCAAATGACCTGTCTGCATAGTTATGCTGATCAGTTGCAGAGAGTAACACGGCCCGACTGTTCAGCAATGCTTGATGTAGTAAAGAAGGTGGAGGTGGGGGAAGCAGAGGCAAACCAAAAAAAAACCCAAAACAACATAAAAAAAACCACCCAAAAATTTTCCTTGCCATGCTTTTCAACTGAATTCTGACATACAAACAAAATAATTCCTGATCTAGAGAGGTGGAGGTGCTGGTGTTATTACAGCAACACAGAGGTCAGCAAGGATACACAGCGTGTAACCGAGAGCCCAGCTCGTCCCTTGGAAGGTGATACAGGTCTTCTGCTGTCACAACAGGCAGCTGTATGCAGTGCTGAATGCAAGCTAAACCTCACATGTCCGAGCTGTGGCTTTTGAGAAGTATGTGAAAAGGATTATGCCAGCTTAATTGAGTTCTTTGGGGGTGTGGAAAGCATAGTCAGGTTGACCTTACCCTGCTAATCCTTCTTTAAAAATAAATTAAAGCAATTGCTGTCAGCATGAAATGTTGAGTTACTTCTGGGGGCTTAGACTTAATAGTCTATCTCACCTTATAATAAAGTTAATTGTGCACTTTGAAGAACACAAAAATAGTGAAAGCCTACCAAAATCCTCGATGAAGCTTTAACTCTAGAACATCCAGAAGCAGCCATAAATTTTCCAGTAGGTGTCATAACTATCTTATTATGGGACTTACAATGAAAAATAATTGCAGAATCATGTTAAATTCAGCCTAATGAAACGCCATAATCTGTGCTATGTACTGTTACTTAAGATTTACTGTGTGTCATGGTAAAGGCATGTGGTCATGTGAGCTTTGATTCTAGTCTTTTTCATTTCCAGTTTAATGTCTTAATTCAGTTCTGTTTGCCTCTAAAGCAAGCTTATGGGAGAGCTTTCATGGTATAGTCAGTTGTTAAATGTGAAGTCAGTCTCATACCACATTCTAATGTTAAATTTTAATATATTAGTATGTAATAGATGTATCAAAGGTATTTTAATTTTCTTTTTTCTCTTTTTCTCCAAACATTATCAGGTTTGCAAAAAGTAATATACCAAAAGCAATAGTGAAACACAGTCTGTACAGAGGGAGGGAGATGAAAGGTTATGTATAATGGAGACAGCAATAGCATGTAATTGCAAAGTCATCTAAAAGTATTGTGTCATTTTTTAATTGTTTCCTAGTCTTTCTTGTAATTAATTGCATTCTTTGCCTAAGGCTTGTTGATTTGAAGATGGATAAGCTAGGAGGTAATGCTCTAGCCTTTCACTTCATAGAACCTTGCAAGGAAGCAAGTTAATCTTTCCTAATTCCAATAAAAGCCATCATATCCACAGCTGTTAAACGTATTTTGTCAGGACTGGAAATTTCTTCTAAGGAGGTAATTTACTAGGAGCAAACAAACATGATTCATCAATTACTTTTTCTGGACAGAAACGTTTTCTCAAAGAGAGAAAAAAAATCATTAAGTCAGTGTAGCAGCAGAGTTTATATTTTTAGTGCTCTTACTTGGATGTGTGCTTACATGCTTCCATAATATTAAAAATGAGAAACTGAGAATAGCATCTTTTCCAGTAATAAAAAGTAGAAGCAATGCAAGCCAGAATTCACATTTATGATGGGTCTGAGGAAAAAAAACCCAAACCAAACTATAGTATCTATACATCTGGTACTCCCATCACCTGATAGAAGAGGGATCCCAGGAGATGAACACACAAGTAGCCTTGAGAAGAACACTGATAAGTCAAGAATCTAGGGGAACTGCTTTAAAAGGACCAAAAAATTAATACAGTTTAGACCACAGGACTTCAAATGTGCATTCACCCTTCAGTGATTAGACATAGACAAAGAAAAATGATAATTTTAACATTACATGTCTATTGAGGCTATTCTACAGCAGTTAGAAATAACATGATATAATTCAGGCATCTTTTTGCATGGATGCTAATTAATACATTGATTTTTCTTAATGATCACAATGTAATTAAAAGGGGTTTACTTTTTCCCCCAGCGGAAATTCTTGAATTGGCTGGAAATGCAGCAAGGGACAACAAGAAGGGTCGAGTCACTCCTAGACACATCCTGTTGGCTGTAGCAAACGATGAAGAATTAAATCAGGTAAGAAAATATTCCACTGTGTGAGGGCCAGGATTTTCTTTAAGGCTTTTTAAATTGTCTTTCCATGTAGCTGAATTGTAATTCAAGACCTTTGCTTATTGAGTAGCCCACCAGGAAACAGCTCATTCACTCACTAGCGCATTACCTGTGCAAATAACTACAGCACTCAGCTTAATTATGTATTTCAGGACTCTTAAAATGTATAAAAATGTGATGGAGATGTAATATGACATTTACTCGCACTATTACAAGCACTTCTGTGAGAGTGGGACATGGTCAGAAACTCTGCAGAGACGTGGAGACAATCTTGTAGATGTTTTTGTTTGGTTTTCCCCCTTAAGCAGTGTAGGACTCAGTGGGACCTATCCTGAAGTCTGTCATGGTGACCACAGAATTAAGAGCTTTGTAACTCTTGCAAGTCTGTGTCCTTTGCAGATTTCAAGATGCCTTTAACTTAGCCAAAAAATATTTGGGCATTATTATTTTATTATATTAACTATATATTAAATAAAATATATTATTTCATTATATTAATT